ACTCAGGCCCTTGCGCTTGCCAGGGAAGCGCTTATTCCACTGAGCCATCTCCCCAGCCCCTCAAGCAAATAATATTTAGGAGACAATTATAAATGTGAACACTGACTGAAGTCTAATTATATAGTACTAAGAAATTACTGCTACTGCACACTATAGTTGTACTATGGGAATGTTTAAAAAAGAAATTCCTGCTTGGTGTGGTAGTACATACCTGTAATCCCAGAACTTGGGAGGCTGAGGCAGGAAAATCACTGTGAATTATAAGCCAGTCTAGAATACATAAATCCTGTCTCAAAACAAACAAAAAAGAAATTCCTATCTCTTATGGATATACACTAAAATATCTTAGGATGAGATTTTATGTGGAATTTTTTTTTTTTTGAGCTTGAACTTGATTTTACTTTTTATTTCTTTAAATATTTATAACATGTTAAATATCCATTTCATGATTTGGCTATATTTTGTGTATGTTTTGTAAATATATTACTTGATAAATGCCTTTCACTTTCATATATATTTGGCCAGAATAAATCTGACTTCATATTCATTATGACTAAAATTATATGCTTCGTAACTTATTTCAAAAGGTATTACTACATCTCACATGTTCACATTTGCCTAAATATGTGGAGATAATCTTTGTCCAATATTTCTAGATCATACCCTATCTGAATATATAAAGCATTCCCTATCTCACCATATTAAGGTTGAAACTTAAAAAACTGGGCCATTGAAAAGTGTGTGTCTTGGGCTGGTGAGATGGCTCTGTGGTCTAAAGCACCTACTTAGAACAAGCTTAGCAAATCACAGGGACCGCAGTTCAATCCCCCAGCACCACATGCCAGCCAGCCCCGCCCCCTGGTGGGCTGAGCTGGCTATACACACACACACACATACATAAATAAAATTAAAAAAATTTTAAAAAAAAAGGAAAGTGTATGTCTTGCAAAGGAGATGGCTTCTGCTTCCCTCCTGATACACCTCCTCTAACTGTCCATTATTGTATTTCTGGATAGGTGTCCTTTAGTCTGAAAGCAAGGTTTCGAGTTAGTCATACTGTAAATTAGATTATATGTAATACAGCTTGCATTTCATTATTTCAGGACACTTTTTCATAGCTCATGGTAATATTTCTCATAAGAAGTCTCATTACCCGCAGGCAACTTTTGATGAGCTAATTTGATATAACAAAAATGTAACTCATTTTTTTATATTTTTCAACATGCTGTGGGTCAAATTTAACTTCCACCTCTACCAACCCATTTTAACTTTGGTATCCATCACAAAAATAGGTTTAATCCTGGACTCCTTTATTAGCTACCTACACGTCATCATAAGTAGACAGAAACTCTGCGTAGTGAGACCCTGTACCAAGTATATTTTTAAAAAATCGTATTTTGGATGGTTAACTGTTTATCCTTTGAGTTTTTATATATTCACCACACCAAGTCTAGTCCAGTGACAATTATCATATTTTCCATACATGCCACTGAGTAAATAATTCACCCTTATTTCACAAGAAAAGTTGTCCTGAAGTTAATGATTTGATATTCCTCAGCAACATTCTACCATTTATCATGTATTAATGGCCTAGCTATTCCCTCACATTCTTTTTTTTATTTTATTTATTTATTTGTGTGTGTGTGTGTGTGTGTGTGGCCAGCTCAGCCCACCAGGGGGCGGGGCTGGCTGGCATGTGGTGCTGGGGGATTGAACCGCGGTCCCTGTGCTTTGCTAAGCTTGTTCTAAGAAGGTGCTTTAGACCACTGAGCCATCTCACCAGCCCGTCCCTCACATTCTTGTGTAACGCATGCATTTTACTTAGAGCAATGGCTCTTAGGGTTGACTGTTCAAGTAGTCTTGTCGAATGTAATTTCCCATTATTGCCTAAAAATAAATTATAAATGGACAAATTTGCAATATCCATGATAGGCAAAAAATTTCTAGTTCTATTTTCTGTGTTTTCAGATGACATATTTTTGTAGAGGGTCTTAATACCCAGCTCAGACTCATAGTGATCATCCTATTTCATGGTCCCTAGTTCTGAGATGACTGACTTGTGCTAGCTGGGGATTTCTGGGGCTGGTACAGCATGTGGTACTGGGGATAGATATCAAGACCCTGCACTTGTCAGGCAGTCACTTATTCTGCCACCCTATTTTATGTGGAATTTATTTCAGTGTCTGGAAAGTTTAGACAGTGGCAAGTTCCTCAAATGGGTAAAAACAGCTACCGTATGACTCTCACTGAACTCTCGGTACAGACCCAAGAGAAATAAAACATGAGTCCACACAAAAACTTGCACTTGAATGCTCAGAGCAATATTCACATCATCAAAAATGAAAGCAACCCAGATGTCTATCAGCAGATGAAAAATAAAATGAGGCATAGCGGCATAGCCATACAATAAAACATTACTTGGCAAGAAAAAGAAATAAAGTATTGTAGCTGTGGTGGTACATCCCTATAGTCTCAGCATACAGGAGGCTGAGGCAGGAGGATCACTTGAACCCAAGAGTTTAACCAACCTGGCAACCCAGTGAGTGCCTATCTCAAAAACTATATAATAAAAAAAGAGAATGAAACATGGACACATGCGACAACACAGATGAACCCTGAGAAAAGTAAGCTAAGTTAAAGAAACCGGTCACAGAGGACCATGCATTATGACTCCATCTATGGGGAATGTCTGGAATGACAAATCCACAGCAAGTACCTGAGCTGTTGCCTAGGGCTGGAGACATGATGGGAAACAACTAAGGTGTTTCTCTTGGTTGAAGACAGAATGAAAATGGCCTCCAGTTGGTGGTGGTGATGGCGCATACAAATTACTAACAGCGACTGAATTGTACTGCTTAAGTGCCGTGAGCCTATAATGGCAATCTTATGATTAATAAACAGGTTACAGAATAACACAGGACTGAAAGCAGATCCTCTAGAGAAAGGCGGCCAATCTCACCACTCCAGATCAACACCTCACTTGCATTTTTTTTCTCTTTGTTTTTGGCGGAATCGGGGATTGAACTCAGACCCTTGCGATGGCAAGCGCTTAGTCTATTGAGCCATCTCCCTGGCCCTTCACTTGCTTGCTTGCTTGCTTGCTTGCTTTATTTATTATTTATTTATTTATTTATTTATTTATTTATTTATTTATTTATTTCACTTGCATTTTAACCAGCCCACGCAGGCAGGAAAAAAAAGCAGAGGCACAAATAGGACAGGAAGAAGTCAAATCAGCCCACTTAGCAGGTGACATGCTCTTTACACACAGCCCCTACAAAGCCCATGAGAAGACTTTTGGCTCCACTGAGCAAGTTAACCAAGTGGCAGGATATAAAACCAAATTTAAAAAAAAAAAAAGAGCTTTCTTACACACCAAGAATGGACCTGCCAAGAAAGATTTCAGGGAAACAATCCCACTCATAATAGCTTTAAAAAATATCTAGGAATCAACCTAATCAAATAGGTGAAAGGCCTCTACAATGAAAATTACAGTACAGTGACAAAGGAAACAGAAGGCATTAGGAAATGTAAAGGCCTCCCGGTGCATGAATCAGAATTAATATTGTTTTGTTTTGTTTTTAGGATTTTTTTTTTTTTTTTTTCCGAAATGCCTTCAGGGCAGGTTTGGCTGGCTTGAGTTGTGGGGATCGAACCACAGCAACCTGAGCCTGACTGCTTTGTTGAAGCAGCCACTTAA